TTGCTAATCTTGCTGAGGATCATCAAGCTCACCCTTCTCACTGATTGTCAGTTACAAAAATTATTATTATTATATATGGTAATACCCCAAACTTACGCGATAGGTGGGACCGAGCAATAACTGCATAAGTCGAATTCGCATAAGTCGGGGTATAATTTCGCAATTTGTGTAAAATCCAAGTCAGATGTATGTAAGCTAATAAATGTTCTTGTTAATCTTATCTCGTCTTTCGATTAGTTCATGGTTACAATAAATCACCACATAGAGTCTCTCGAGTCTCCGTAGATATAACAAACACAGAAATAAATAACACAAAATAAATTGTAGCTATGCATCGATTCCGCGCGACATGTCTGAACATGTAAGTCGAACAATAGTGTGGGTGGAGTGAGTAATTGAGAGTTGCGTGGCACTCAAACAAAAGATGAATCGATGAGATTTGAAAATCGCGTAACTCCGGGGTAGCGTAAGTCGAGGTATTACTGTATACAATAAATGTATACAATAGAGCATCGATTATCCGACCCCCGATTAACTGTCACATCGGTTAACCGACCATTCTAGTCGGCAAATTTCAAATGTCCATTAGTGATGTGGCACTACAATATTTGGCTACGTCTTGGCTACTTTAATATAATTTTTGTTAAATTTTTGTGTGTTCTAGCTGGCAACACTGGCTCAACCATGAAAGGGGGGCCAGTATTTAAATGAGATTTAATTTTCTAATTATGAGTGGTTGTTTGTTTTGTGAGCAATAAAATAATTTTAAAATAATTTTTAACGATACAATAGTGACAATTATTATTTTTAAAAAAATTGTTAGGCTTAACATCGATGAAAATTCAATGTGAAGTAGGTTAATGATATACTAATTACATTTAACTAATTAATAGCGATATACTAATAAACAAACATCGCTAAACCCAATACATAACATAACTAAACACCAACGATATGCCGAAAATCTATCGGGCTAGTATTAGGCTAATTACTAAATGAATTACGTAACCAATTTGGCTATATATAAGCTATTCCAGCGTATATAAGCTAACTATATAACCGATGGTTATATAGTTAGCTTATATACGCTGGAAGAGGAGATCGGACTGGAGGTCCGGATAGCGTAACTGGCAACGTATCTGCACAGTAAGCAGGAGTTGTGGGTTCAAGTCCCGTTCCGGGCCGATGTTTTCTCCCAGTGGTTCTAAATTATTTAAATTAATTTATTTATTTATAATTATTAATAACCGTCGATGGTTATATAGTTAGCTTATATACGCTGGAAGAGGAGATCGGACTGGAGGTCCAGATAGCGTAACTGGCAACGCATCTGCACGGTAAGCAGGAGTTGTGGGTTCGAGTCCCGCTCCGGGCCGATTTTTTCTCCCAGCGGTTCTAAATTATTTAAATTAATTAATTTATTTATAATTATTAATATTAATAAGAGATGGCGCCTAACGCTTACCTCTAGTGCCAAATTAATTACGTAATTTATTTAGTAATTAGCATTTTAAAATATTTGATTTGTGTGAATCAGGGTTTTTCCAAAATGGAATTTCCTCTCCCCTTGGGAGGGTTAAT